CATCTGTTATAAATTTGAGTAAAATGTTAAATGACTGACTCATATATCTCCCAGTGTAGTGATTTGGTAAAAAAGCTTTTCGTACAAAATCTATCCATGTTTTAGGTATTTTGTACCTCTGTATATCCGTCCTGATTATTGGTGCATTTTTTAATTAAAGCGAGCCATACATTTTGTAAGAAAGGGCTGAACCTTGGTAGCCTTGAAAACGAGGCACGTTTGCTATGTTCAAAGGGAGGTGAGATATGGTGATGTAACGAAAACTAAGTTAAAGAAAGTAAAAACCTACAATTAGAACAGTAACTGAGTGCCATGAAAACGAAAGAAAACAAAGTAAGAGGAAAATAAGATAACTTGAACGAGCGATGAAACTTAACATATACATGTGAGTCCTTGCCGAACTTGGCGGTTTCAAGCATATCAGCCCCTCTAGTTAACATTTGCGGAAATGGCAGTCTCCAAAGATTCAGACTTTGATGACTCAATTTGAAACTACCCGCATACTTCTAATTCCTATGGTTAGTATGTCATACACCGATTACAATATCGTCATAACCATGATGTTAAAAGCGATTTTCTTTGGAAATACTGGAGATCTAAAACCAAAATCGCACGCGGAGATGAAGCATCGATTGGGAAGCATAATCATTTCTATGCCTTTTCCGGTATTTTCATGTTAGTTTCAGTTTGAGGTTGAAACTGTCCTCGCGGGGCGTTGTCCATATGCGGGCCTTGTTTATCAGCTCGGATCCATAACCTCAATTAGTTAACTCAAGGCTTGTACAGTTATTGTGTTGTTGGCTCGTTGAGTCTCCCAGCGAATTTATCAAATCAATCCAAGAATGTTCTAGAATCGAATAAAATTAAATTGTCTTTGGATGTCGCTTGTGGGATGCATGGCCAGTCTATGCTGTTTAAAGTGAAATGTTTCACAAATTGCCGACTGCGCCAATAAATATCTATAATAAAAGCTGTCTAAAATAAACTTAACAATCCTACCTGCCTATATTGGAGATTTTTCAACAATGAAGACGAACACAGTTTTCCCCTTGCAGGCAAACTACATCAGCGCATGAAAAAAGGGGAAAATCATTTATTTCGGCTCTCGGAGTCTTTCACGCGATCATTCGACTAATATAGAAAGTATTGCTGAAACTTGAAAACCTTTTCTTCACATTGAATACATGTGTAGTTACCTGAGATAACAATAACTATTCAAATCAGCGTTTCAATTGATCACTCTAAAAAAAAAACATATTTTAAAAGGAGTTTTTGATGAAAGCGGCTCAGCGTAATTACTTCCGCTTTTTTTTTTTTATCGACTTGTACGTCCTTTTCTTGATTGGTTTTTCTTTTTTTTTTTTTTTTTTTTTTTTTTTTGCTATTTTTTGTTTCTGTTCTGAGCGGTGAAATAAATATCCTCATAGCAAAATGAAGTTTGTAATGATAGATCACCTTTAAAACGATTCATTAAATGTCATTGAAAGGCGTAGAACCTGTCGGCTACTGAAAATTAATAACATTCGCTAATTTTGTCTAAAAAAAGCGTTGTCACTCTATTTATTTCTAAGTGCTTGTTACAGCGAACGATGAATTATCAGCTGTTTCCCAGATCTACTATCTCTTCATCTTCATGAAACCGCAAAAAATTTTAACGTACTGAGCTGTCAGTGTCCTATTTTAATTCATAAAGTTCACATAGAGTTTCTTTCTAAACGAAGCCAGTTCTAAATTCTCAGATGAAAGTATAAACAATTATTATTCATTTCAGATTTGTACTCATTTCCTTACCTTTTCGATGCCAAAGTGTTGTTATGTAAGTACGTATTAAGCTCATTCTCTGTTAAGGGACAAGTCTAATCGAAAGTAGGTATATACCTCTAAAGACCAGAAACGACAAAGATCATCTATGCGAAGGACAGAGGAAGAAATACAAAGCCGACATATTAACAGAGGAAAACTCTCTGGGGGGTCTTTATCTCGAGATAAATTTAGGAACTTTTTAAAAAAATGGTTTTCGTTAAGACAAAATGACTTAATTCAACATTTTAGGCCAATATCGCTGTAAAAACATTTTTCATTAATTTCAATTGTTAATACACACGTGTAGAGATATTCACAACGAACAGTGAAGATGTGAACCATATTTTTTTCCAAACGATTTGTAAATGTTTTGTTTCACGATTAAATGTCGCTTTCTGAATCAAATAAGTTTTTGTTCCTCATTCACATTAATATTCCCGATTATCGGGACTATTTCGTTATGGTTCTCGCCATTAAACCGCCGCTCGGTCAATACGGCTACGCTTCGGTTTGAGATGTTCCTGTAACGACAAAACTGCATCTACGCAGATATTATTAATACATTGGGCTGAAATCATTTGCCTTATATACGATTTTTTTAAAAGTTCCTAAAATTATCTGGAGATAATGACCCCACACAGAGTTTGTCTATGTTAATCAGTCCAGGAAACTTCAGAGTGAGACAAATATGCTTTTGATGTTCAAGTATTTGGCCAGGCTGCGCTCACTCGTTAAAAAAAAAAGTATCTTACGCATTATCCTCTGTGCTAGTGTTTTACACAACTTTCCTTCCTATCACAATTCTCCACCTGCAATTTTCTTCAACTTCGCCAGCTTTCGTGTAACATTTCAAACGACATGAAAGGGTCCGATTTCTTGTACATGTTTTGCCACTTGGAGATGCGTGACCAGCATAATCGACGAATTGAAACAGCACAAGGAAATCTTTTTTACTTTAAAGAAATTTCACAGACGTAATATTTAGGGCCATACTGTTTGTTTATTGTCTCCACGATATGAATACGCATTGGCAACACCCCTGTGAATGAAATGCTTAATGGGAATGAAACCTTTGAACAATATATTTAATAGATATCAAAGCTCGTTCGTGGGTAAGTCTTGGATTATCTTAATCATCTAAACAAGATATCATCCATTATGGTGCAAAACTTCGTTAGCTCTCAATTTGCATTATCTTACCTCGTCATTCTGTCTCTTCCCGATATGTGTATTTTCCTTGTGTAATCAACAGAAATGGACGTCTATATTTAACCAATTCAGGAGAGAAACAAATTTCATTGAAATATGTCTCTAGCACAATCTGACTCTTTTCATTTAGGAGCTATCTCTCCAAATTAGATGACAAAACCTACGGCTATCCAAATTTTTAGTGTATTTCGACTCAACTTCAAAATTTAATTTCAAATTTCTATTTCACCAGACGCCAGCTACCTTCAAAGGTAGACATTAAATTCCACCCGATCATTCACCACTTTCCAAAAAAGGTATGTCTCATGATTCTACAGATGACACGTATGTTTTTCCTTCTTGAATATTGCAACAGAATTAAGGTTAAAAAATAAGTTCCGAATGTTGACGAAACACCAAAATTTCACCTGTTTCGTAAACGTGATATGTTCAACAAGCACAGTTAAAGATCCCTATTTTTCTTTTATTACGGTTAAAGTCAGTTTTTCTTATTCTTTAAGCGCAAGAGTAAAAAACCATTTATGCCCTTTCTCCCTTATAAATTATATGGACAACCCAAACATGCTGCCTTGCCTGAGCTATGTTTACTGGGCAAAATTATAACCAATCAACAATTGGAGTAAATGGCTGTGGGAAAAATCCCATAACCGCATTTATTCAAAAATACTGTTCAATCAAATCCTTGATACAAAGTTTAGCCCAGTAAAGGTGAGGGGACTGAAAACACCAAAAATGCAATCTAATGATTTGAAAAAGAGGAGTGGCTGGGACAAGTGGAGGAGGAGGGATGAAAAAACACGTCTTTTACCACCGTCAAGATGAAAAGAAGTGACGCTCACATGTGAGCCTGTTCACTTGGCAAGCACAAGTATCCTGAAGGGTATTGGCTATAATCCAAATAAATGCCACCCCAAGTCCCATGCCCCCCAAAAAAATAAAAAGTACACAATGGGAAGAAGAAGCATAAACAATCTATTCGCAAGCAAATATTTTCTTTTATATTTTGTCTGATGCGAACCTATTTAATTCTTGGAATAGAGAACAGCTTTTGTACGAGATCAGTTTACATGCAGTTTTTAAATTGTCTCACCTAAGTTCAAATATGCACACGACATCAAGAACATACCACTTCTGGTGACAAACACATTTTCTCGTGGTCATGTTAAATCCTCTTTAACTACTCGGATATTGGTTTTCTACCTCAAAAGCCTTGGTAGTTTTTGAAATAACTCCATTCAGGTATTCCTTCTGTTCAATAGATCTTTTGTTCCCAGAAATGTCACGTTTCTTGAGCTGTTTTTATAATTTCATCAAGACTATCGTTCAGAAAAAGTCTTCTACTTTGAAACAGTTATCTCAGTGTCTTGTCACCATATGGCTCACTGGGTGTCGATGAGGAATGTCCCTGGAAATTGAAGGTAAGTTAATCTTTTCACGATTGACGGTTGAATTTTACGGCTATTCTCTATAAATGGTTATTACCAGGATATTTTTCCTTACTTATTGTATTCGGGTCATTTTGTCTTTTGCTGATGCAATGAAATAAAGTTTGCTGTTAATATACAATTAAATTCTACCTCGAAATCTAACTTGCTTCCTTATACTGAAGATCGTAAAGTCCTTCAGCAGACATCATTGTTGCAACATGCCAATCTCCTGTCCTCCCAGTCGCCTGGCAGTTATTCTTTTCCGAGCAGTTTACTCATAGATTTGAGCACAAAGGACCGGAGATCCAATTTGTCTACCAAATTAAGTGAATTAATTGAATAATCTTCAAAACCTCTACTGCTTTAGGGCCCTCCTAAATGAAAACCTGCATTTTATATTGCTCTATTGATTTCTCTTCTCTGTTAATTTACAATAAAAGCAGATGAAGTCTTTTTAACACTTGAATATTATCTCAGCTTGACTAGACCGAATGGCACGGGCATGGTGAGGTCCACCAGAAACAAAGCTTCAAACGTGTCTATTTCCTACCTTTAGAAATA